ATATATATTTATTACTATATATATATATATATATCTTATTCGATATTTTCATCTTGCAATTGGACGGTTATCGGAGGAAGTCGCAGAAGCTCGAAATAAAGATTTCAAACGTTTTCGTCTTTACAATACAAGAAAATGTTCTCGCTTACTAACAAACGAAGATATTATGCCTAAATTATTAATTTCTTCAGATCCATTAATTACTTGTCTGAGAAACTTGTCGACAAAAAAAGTAAGGACCATTGATCCTGAAACCCAGAATTTACTAATACAAGAGTAATTGCATAATATTTTCCTTTTATTGTAACAATATAAAAATTGTTACTATATTATTATTACAAAACCTTTTTAGCGACAGATTAAAAAAATATAAAGCAAAAAGACAAAAAAAAATAAATGTAAAAATATATGTTTATTTATTTATTTATTTATTTATCTTACATTTTTTACATTTATTTTTTTTGCAATCGGGATATACAAACGTGCTTCCTAAACACGCTCTATATATACACATTTAATTTTATACTACTTCGACTTCTTATTATTTTTTACACTATATTTTACTAACACTGACATTATTATATTTTACTGACAACGCACAAATCATGTAAGTCAAGATTTTTTACTTTTATAGGTCCTTTGTTATTTATAATATTTAAGCGATCGCAATACAAAAATGGAATTCCTTTTCTGCCTAGTCTTCGATTTTTGACTTGCGGGTACAGTGTCACGAATTGCCTGTCGAATGCTTGTGAAAGAGTTCAATTGAAGAGGGTCCGAATTTGGGCCGAAACGTTGTGAAATATATATATATAGTAATAAATAAATAAATATGAAACAAATGCAAAATAATTCGAGTAAAAGAATATATTCAGCCAAAACATGCATTTTTTTAATTTGACGACTGTCAAAAGTCAAATATTAATTCTAACATTTGTTTCTAACAGATTCGTATTTAGTGACCTTAAAAACTGTTACGTAAGCTAGCTCAATGCAAAAGTAACTTTAATTCTTCTAATTCAACTTCAAGTTAAAATAATTTTCAAATTGTTATTAATATTGTGCATTTTAAAGAGTCTTTTTAAAAAATCGAACTCCACAGTTTTGTGGGAAATTTATTAACAATTAATTTAAAAAAAAAAACGTCTCGATCGGTTAAGAATTACGGTCTGTAGCGATTTTTGAACAGTAAATTTCTATTTGTCCCCACTGTGCGCCGCCGCCGCCGCCATCGCCGGACCTGTGCAGCCTCGATCGCGTGAACGGGATATTGATTTTGGAAAATGGAATGTACATCTCGTACAAACGTTACGTTTGGTCGATCAATCTGGACGGTAGGACGTACAACGGACCTTTAGCCCTTTCGAATCACATGAGCTTTCTTCGCGACAATTACACGCGCGTGACAATAGGCCGCCGCCTATCAATCTTCGTTCGGCGATCTCGTGGTGTTCGTAGATAATTTGGTATACTTGGTTCAATATCCGGAATTTAGTCTGCGGCCAGGTTGGCCGAAGACCCTGCAAGAACTCGGATTTCCCGAAAACACGTTGATCAACGGAGCGGTGAACACCCACAGAGGACGTTCCTTCGTGGTGTTCAACGGTAACGCGGTGGGCGAGATAGACGAATGCGACAAGGACAAGAGAGTCGCCAAATTTACGCCCCTCGAGGCGACGTTTCCCGGAATACCGACCGGCGTGACGTCGATCTTCCGCTACGTCGACGGCAATCTGTACTTCACCACTCGGGCGCAGTTCTACAAATTCAACGAATTTACGAGGACCGTCTCGTCGGCCGGTAAATTCAATCTGCGGATGCTAAATATCGTCTGCCCTAAGGTCGAACTGCTGCAGCAATTGCGCGATCTCCTCGATCGAATCGTACGCCTCAACGATAACTCGTTAACGTCGGCGGCGAGCGATTATTCGAACGATGACGAAACCGGCGTTTGGCTCTCCGATCTCCGCATCCGCCGAAGGAAGTAAAGGACTGCGCAAATTTCCCACACCACGCCACGCGCGACATAAGTCAGATCTTTCCTACTTATACCGATGTGTCCCCTCCAAGGCATCAGTGCGCGTCGTCGGCCGAATACGACGCGTCGGAAAAAATATCAGAAACGAACGGTTACCGCGGCGCGCAGTGCGAAATGTTCTCAACGTTGGCCGATCGACCCGCGCCGAGGAGTATTTCCCCTCCGGAGACGGCGGATTCGGAGGCGAACGACAACGGCAATAAAATGCGAAAGATCAGTTTGATGGACGATCGACATTATCGTCCTCATCGCCAGGAGTCGCGTCGCAGCTCTCATCCTCCCACCGACGCGCCCGTCGAGGACGATCGCCATTATCGTCGTCATCATCAGGAGTTTCGTTCCAACTTTCGCTCTCCCACCGACCAGCCCGTCGAATTGCCCGCGGTGCGCGTCCTGACGACGCGTTATCTGCTGACAACGACTGGCTACAAGTACATAGCCATAGGTATCACGATCAAGTCGCCGTGGTACAGTATTCATACCACGCCTTTGTACGTGGATATTGCCCTGGGAGACAAACAAGGCAGGGAAATCTCCCTGACGCTCGACATGTGGAAAGGACTGGTCGAGCGCAAACGCGACATATTGTCGTGCATGGAACGCGCTCTCTCCGACGTAACTCGCCCCCTCTCGCCGATGTCGATCGAAGGGATGACGCTGCGATTCGGAGTGATCAACAACGCGCCGATCCTACGTATGGAACTACCCAACCTGGCTCGCGTGGCGATGGTGCTCAAAACCCTGCTCACGCTGTACGATCTCCAATTTTGCATAGATCGCGTCGTCCGGGCGCTGAGCGCGGCGACCGAGGAGGTCGACGCGAAGTTTTCGCGCTATCGGGAGATAGCCGCCAACGCGATGAAAATGGATACTTTGGTTCAGACTGCGATACTGAAGAACGATTTCTTCGATCCTGACAACATCGTCGACTGCGAGATTACCGCGCTCTGTTTCCGATCCTAATAACAATGTCGCGTCTACAAAATGTATATATTCACACGAGCGAAACAATGTAAACGCGTGTGTATTATTTTTCTGAATAAAAAAACTATATACGTATCTCATCTGTGCGCTCTCTCTTTCTTCTTCCCCCTTTTTCTCAGATCCGTAAACCTATCTCCGCGCGACCGCGCTTACCCCCGATGTCGCGGCGATCGCGTCGTCCGCGACGCGGATCGAAACGACTTTCGGACCGAGAGTAAAAAAAAACGACGACGAAAATGGGCGAACGAGACCCCCGCGAAACGAACGACCTCGAACGCATTTTTTTTTTTCCCCCGAACGTCGAGAGGAGCGACCTCGAACGAGTTCGGGCGAGTTCGGGCGAGTCCGGACGCGCCCGGACGCGCGCGAGCGTAAACGAAAAAAAATTGGAGCGCGATTTTCCGAAACGGTCGGTAACGGCGCGAGCGCCGCTCCGAGCGCCCCCCCTCGGAACGCCCGCGTCCCCGCGCCGAGCCCCCGTTGGCGGCCCTGCGGTGCCTAACCTGACCTGATACCAGTAAACAACCGTCCCCCGCGTCGCGCTCTCTCCCTCGCCCAGCAATCTTTTCCCCCCGCGTAGCCCTCCGATGACCCTTAACACCGTCCCTCGACCCCCTCGCCCACCGCTTACGGCGCTCCCCCCGCGGCAGCGAGGCACCCCCCGACCCCCCTAACCGCAAGCGAGATCCCTGTGTAGAAGTGGTGGTTACTCTCCTACTTTTTATTAACCGTAATTATTATTATTCTATTTCTTGCGTGTTTTTCTGTATATATTTGGTAATAATTTGCGATATTAGTTTAGATTTAACTTATAAGTTTATCCAGGTCAATAATGATTGAAGTACAACACACTATTGTAACATAATCTTTCATTTCAGAAATTATATTCTTATTAAACGTTCTCTGCTGAAACATTACTTGAACTTAGTAATTTGATTTATAAAAAAAAGATGAAATATCTGATAAAAAATATTAAAGAAACTTCAATCATCAATGACACCAATTCAATATAATCATTTACTGAATTATTCTTGTATGATTTACGTTCTTTGCATATGTTTATGATTGTTTATTATATTGTGCATTAATTTGATTTCGTTTAAATTACTTTGACATTGTCTAATGGAGATAAACATTAATTGCTGCATTCCTGCGCAACCGAATGTAATACATTGATTCGACTCTACTTAAAATTATAATTGATTTATTTCATAAACAATAAAGGCATCGTTCTTTCCTTCTATTAGAATAAAAAGTTTGATACTCAGTTCCTATACATACAACTTTTAGAATATAATAGTTACTTACTTATATATAAATATACTGTAAATAAAGAGCACTCCGCACTGCTCGATCCACACGCGTGTATACGCACTCACGCATCGTACGTAGGATAATATACGCATCATGGCTGTCGCGATGAGCGTTCCGCACAATATAAAACAATAACCTTCTAATAACAGAATATTAATATACTACCAACGTTATTTCCAAGTCCAAATTACAAGGAATTTTGGAACTGTTGCATTGATCTCAAATAAATGTCAGAATAACATTTGAAAAATATTTCCTGTAACGTTTTTAAAATATTTTAACAACATTCAGAAAATCATATTACGAAATAATATTTTTCAAATATGTGTATAATATTATTAAAAAACGTTTAAAAAATATACATAAAGTCAATATTTCTAAACGTTAATTTAATGTTCCTTGCTTACTGGGCGGGTTACACAAGGTATCGGGTTAGGTGGGAAAGGAGGAGGGGAGAGAGTTGGCATACAACCGTGATGACTCACCGAGATGACTCATCCGCGCCGCGGGTCCGCGGAAGGAGAAGTCCGCGTTCGCGGCCGCGTCGCGGTCGCAGTGATGTCGGAACATGTTCGTCGTAAACAACATTTTTCTAAGAAAAGGGGGGCGGTTATCGCGTAGACTAAACAATCTATCTACGCAGTACGCGAGACAAAGGAAAAAATGACGTCATCGGGACGATGATCGACCCGATAACGCATCGAACCTGTCGGAAATGTTCGTCGTAAACAACATTTTTCTAGGAAAAGGGGGTGTTATCGCGTAAACTAAACAAATTCGCTAAACAATATATTTACGCAATACGTAAAAAAACAAAAGAAAAAATGACGTCATCGGGACGATAATCTACCCGATAACGCATCGAACCTGTCGGGACACGTTCGTCGTAAACAAATGTTTTCTAGGAAAAGGGGGTGTTATCGCGTAGACTAAACAATCTATTTACGCAGTACGCGAGACAAAGGAAAAGATCTTTCAAAAAATCAGTTGGAGCGAGAGAGAGGGCAAAGGGTATATATAACAAAGAATAAAACGCATCGAGTCGCAGTAGTAAGATTTGAAAGAGATACATCGGTTGAAAAGTATCGAGATTTATCGTGTGGTTAAACACGTTATGATGTGCAAGTGCTGTGAAGCGATATAATAAAAGAATAGTGCAAAAGTGATCAAACATGGATCAATTCGAGCAAACCGAACGCGATCTATTGGAGCTGTCCGACCAAGTAGCTACCGTGGATAAATTTTTCACATGGGCGCTGCAATGCGCGGAATTCGTCGAGCAGCTCGAAACACGCAGTAATGCCAAACGTCAGCGGCTCTCCAACAATCCAATGATCGGGCAGAGGCAATCGTTGGTTGCCAGAATAACGCGACTCGAGAATGTAAAGTCGCGATTGGAAAAACAATTTATCCATAGCGGTGGTGATTATGCGAACACCGAAAACAGTGGCGACACGCGCGCGGCAGAACTCGTATGGCGAGAAATCGATGCCGCGTTCAAAACGCGAATAATGACCGGTGCGGTAATTAATACAGACCATATAGAACCGCGACAGTTTTTGGAAGACGCCTGCAGCGTAGTGTGCAAGCGAGTGCGAGACATTATAAAAATACATAACTGTGTCAAAGTAAACACCGCGTTCAACGGAGAATTTGTGGCGGGTGATAAACGTGCCAATAAGAGTAAAACAACTTAGCTTCCGAAGCGCGGATATAGCTCGCGGCTGGTCAGGGTTTGGAGTAGGCGCGGAGGAAGACACAAGACTCGGTTAAAATATAACAAAACAAAATAAGGTTTATTCAATTATGTTTATTATTTACAGTGATTGCGGAGTCGATGGCTACGTGTGATAGATCGCGGACGCGGTTATACTGGCGGTGATATGCAGATATCGCGGAGTCGCTGGGTACATGTAATAGGTCGCGGACGCGGTTACAATGGCGGTGACGTACAGATATCGCGAAGTCGATGGGAACAGGTAATAGATTGCGGAGGCGGTTACAACGGCGGTGATATACAGATATCACGGAGCTTGCAGACGCCGGTAAAGCAACGATACACGGAGATCGCGGAGTTTCGCGGATCGGCAGGCGTGCGGACTCGCTGAAGTACGATGTGCGATTTCGGCGCGGGTGACGCGGTATCGCAGATTTGGATAGCGGCGGCAGTGAGCGCGTAAGGCGCTGGATCGCGATTGGACGTGATATCGAGCGGCTAAGACCCTTAGCGGAGATAGAGAAGTACTCTCTATCTCCTAGCGCATCGATTCGTGTAGGCGGGAGGCGGCACCGGGTGGCCAAGACCCTTGGCGAGTAAGAGAAGAACTCTCTTACCCTGGTTCACTTCGGTGTCACAGGTGTTCGTATGGAAGTTCGAGTCAACCGCCTAGATGCTTCACTCGGCAGAGGCAGAGAACGCTCTCTACCTCCTGGTTGTTCGACTGTGGGATTTCGGGATCCGTGAGCAGCGGAGAATCGGTCGGATCGGTTTGCTGGCTCACGGCGGAATCTAAAATCTTGCAACATTGCTCGGTTTATATACGCCCGCGGTGGCGTGTCGGCGTGGCGGGGGTATACGCGACGGCAATCGCGCGCGCCGGGATGGAGCGGTGGAGCGTTCGGGAAGTACGGTGCCCCGACGCCGCGATTGCG